AAAGAGTGAGGAGAGAGAGAAAGTGAGAAAGCAAGCCACCAGGTCCGGGACTCCAACCGTGGTCAGCCATGTGGGAGTCCAGCGCCCTTAACCACCAGGCCACCTGCCAGCCCCCCTACTGTGAGTTTTAAGCCACCAGGTCCAGGACTCAAAACTGCTATAAACTACATGGGGGTCCAGTGATGTAACCATTACACCATCTGTTGGTCCCTGTTTTTAAGTTCTTGCTATAGGGCACTTGCTGGAGAGACAGAGAGGGACAGTGAGAGATAAATCACCTTCCCCCCAGCAGATGGCCAAGCCACAGTCCCCTTTCCTCTACTCTGTGGGGACTTGGGGCATGCATACATACATGCCCAGTGTCCACTGGGACTTGAACCACGGTGGGCCATGTGGGAGTCCAGTGATGTAACTGCTAGGCCATCTGCTGGCCCCTGGTTTTACTTTTAAGAATGAGAAACCAAGAATCACCAGCTTGGTGGATTCACTGACGTTCATATGTCATGTTCACTGTAAGAATAAGAGTGGCAAGTGTAGTGTAGGAGGGAGGGAGCTTGTAAAGAGGAAGAGAACGAATTCTGGTTTGAATATACTGATGTACAGGAACTGATGGAACATTAAGGTGTGATTATTCCAGCTGGATCTTGAATATTCCAATCCGAAGCTCAAGAGAGCCATTTGACTAGAGATCGGATTTTGGAAGTAAACAGCATATGTAATGAAAGCCCAGAAACTGAGTAAGATCTCCCTGGGATAAGGCTTAGGAAATAATTCTCAGGAACATTAGCACTTAAAGGACAGGCATTTAATTTTCTTATGTTTGTTTATTTCCTCCTTGAGAGGAGGAAGCACCCCAGCAAAGGTCTGGACACTGATCTATCTACTCCTGGCCTGAGCTTCCAAAATTAGTGCACTTCTGTATATCTTAAAGCACTTTACAGAGCTAGAGCATAAGAGCTCAAATCTTATCACTTCTTTTTTTTTTTTTTTTCCTGGGTCATGGATTTATTAACAGTATAAGTATGAGAGAGGAAGAACAAGATCAGTGGTGGGCCAGCTGGTGATATGATGGTTAATGTGACTGAATTCCACATGGCTGACTGCATGGTTCAAATCTTGATCCTGGTGGCTTAAAGAACACACTTGGTATGTGTATTTGCTGGTTGAAAATCCCAATAACTGAAAATTCAGGAGAAGAAATATTGGCATAAACATTCGCTGTGAGGGGTTATATCTCACTGTCCACCGTGGCAAGCACACATGATTCAATTTGCCCTCTAACAAATTAAAAATAACAAGAGAAGTGGAATATATTAAGTTTCACCCGGACTCCTGTTCATATCCATTACATACAACCCCCACTGATGGGAACATTGATGGCCGATTTAAAGATGTCTCCTAAAAAGTATGAACTGAGTAGAGATTTACCTTATTTTAAGAGAGGAAAATATCATTGGACATTTATAGGACTATTTGATACAAAGAGATAAAAATATTGTATTCATTATGACATTGAACAAAGAAAGGACATTCCAGCATTGAAGGTCCTCCAAGTTGGCTATGGCTCAGTTACAGCAGCTGATGTTTACCAGCTCCCTCTGCTCTTCCTCATGACCATGCAGGTGGATCTCTTGAAAGCACTTCCAGTTACTTTCCACCTAACAGCTCTCCACCTCACAGATTTTTCCAGGGAAACTGTCTGGAAGGCTCTGGTTGGGAAGTTCTAATGTCCATGGCTCTCCTCCTTGCTCCAACATGAAGATCACTGCAAGTTTGGCAATGCAGTGTCCTAAAAACATCAGGCTGCGGGAACCAGCAGTTAGCGTAATGACTATGTTGCTGGACTCCCACATAGTCGACCGCGGTTCGCGTCCTGGACCCGGTGGCTTAGAACTCACGCCAGGCGCATGTGCGTGCGTGCCCAAGATCCCGAGAGGAGACTGGAGGAGAAGGGATTGCGGCGTGACCATCCCCTCTGGGGGGTGATTTCTCGCTTTCTGTCTCTATGTCTCTCTCTGTCTGGCGAGTGCACGCGCCCTATAGCAAAAACCTCTCCAAAACAAACAAACAAACAAAAAAACAACAACAAAGAAAACATCGGGTCTCCAGCATCACATCCTTGTATAGAATCTTCTGTGCATCTTCGAGGCCCTGCCACTCCTACCAGGTAAAATCCATAGAGACATCCTCAAATGACATGAACTCTGAAAATGAATTCATTTTTTAAATTCTGGACAAATACAGAGGTTTCTAAAAGTATAACGTCATGGACACCGTGTCCGGCAGAGCACCGTCAGCACAGCGGCAGGTTCCCCCCAGTGACCACGCAAAAGGCACTCCAAATCTTATCACTTCTATCTGACCTGAACTGATAACTATAAGAAACTCAGGGATTGAAGGTAGGGTGTCGCGAAAAATGAAAAAGTTAAAATGAGCCTAAAGCTCTCTTGGAGCAGAAGCAAAACTGTGCCAGAGCAGAACCCATTTATTCTAAATTAAATCAGATAAGCAGTGACTGAGTTTGGCTATGGAGAACAGTGTACAATATACATGACATTCTTTGTGGGCTATATTCCTGGTATAAGATCGATAGATCTCATTAGCTTAGTACTTAGACAATAGCTTGGCTTGCAGAATGACGCCAGACATGTTGAGACAGCCCATGCCTGGAGCTCCATCTGATTGACCATGCAGTCCCTGCAGCTTTCCGTCTGGGAATGGGGTTGCTTTCAACTCCCTTCTGAGGCCTGGGCTGGTTTTGTGGTAGGCAGTTAGCTAGTAATGAGCAGGCAGCCCTAAGAGAATAGCAGAAGGACATGTGTCACATCAATCACAATTTATCAGGAGTTACAGCCAGACCCTCCATGAGATAGATGCCTTCTTCCCACCCAGCGCCTGGCGCTGGGAAGGGGAGGCAAATACCACTTTTCTTCCTTGATACCTGAGGAAGACACATAGGGATGATTGTAAATTTCCCTCTTATGATTCCTCATAAATACAAAAAGACCCAACCAGACATTTCAGTCAACATCCTGATTCCCATGGGAGAAATAAACTAATTGGGCAGTCTATCCTAATTAGGCATCATGGCTCATACTGGTCATGCACAATTATGTAACCAAATTCCTCAAATTCTTCACTGTGAGAGAGCTGTGCAAGCGCAGGAGAAAGCCCTCAAATTCAAACAAAGGATTTAAATAATATGACAGACCTCCCATTGTTAAATATTCATTATCACCTCTGATAATAAAAATAACACCTACCCAGTTCCAACGCAGTTGCTAACTAGTAACCTACCCACTCAAAGGTCTTCTGGGTGTACTTTTCTAAAATCTTTCTTTCTTATTAAATTCTCTTTTCTACCTACTTTTATTGTGGTGGTGGCTTTATTTTGCACCTAGGGACAGGTCTCTAATTTTAGTGATCTGGACCCAAAGAACCAAGGACTTCACAAGGCAGCTCAACACTCTCCCATCCTATGATATTTTCTGTCTCCAACAGGTAACTTAAGGAGAAATGAAATGAGAAGAGGCACTAATAATGTGGATTTCACAGCTGGAGGATTCAGCTCTTGCTGCCCTGGGCAAGTTGTACACATCCTTTACAACCTGTATTTCAGGGTTGAAGTGAAAATATCACTGAATGCCTTCTATATTCATAAATTAAAAAAAAAGATTTCGTTTAATTTTATTTACATTTTTTTAAAACTTGACCAGAGAGGGACAGAGTGAGAGAGAAGAGAAAGAGGGAAAGTGAGAAAGCAAGCTGCCAATTCAGGAACTCAAATCGCTGTCCGCCATGGGGAGTCCAGCGCCCTTAACAACCATACCACCTGCTGGCCCCCGTTTTCATAACTTTTAATCAAGAGGTGACATATTAATAATAATAAATTCCTGTTACTTTTCAGAGCCTTTTATTCAGTGACGGGCTGGGCTCTATACTGATCTCGAAAGGTCTCTACCTCTCTGTTCTTTTCAATGAATGCAAGTAGGGTTAGCTAGCTATGTTTGCAAGCAGCGTTTCGAAATGCTTCATTAAATAAACTGATATTAAGCACATTTTAAAATACACACATCTTCATGGGATCAAGCGAGAGAGAAACGGCGGCAGGAGGCAGCTTCAGGTCCCCGACGGAAGTTGCTATGACGACCACTAGGCCTTCCCATTGGCCGCCGCCGAGCACATTGTGGTCGCCGTCGGCGGATTTCATTGGTTACCGCCCACCGCAGCCCCGACCTGTCGAGCGCCTCCCGTGAAGTGTCGCAAAACCGAAGCAGGCGGGAGGCCCGACTGCGAGCGTTGAAACCGAGGCGTGGCCGCGATGGCGAGCGCTTCTTGGGCCGAGATTCGTGAGAAATTCCAGGCGGCGCTGGCTCTGTCGCGGGTGGAACTGCAAAAGAACCCGGAGAAAGAACCATACAAGTCCAAGTACAGCGCCCGAGCGCTGCTCGAAGAGGTCAGGGCACTGCTCGGCCCGGCGCTTGAGGACGAGGATGAGCCGCCTGAGGCCGACGACGGCCCGGGCGTGGGGGACCACGCCCTGGGGGTGCCGACCGAAGTGGTGGAGGCCGAGGGGCCGGTCGCTCAGCGCGCCGTGAGGCTGGCGGTCATTGAGTTCCACCTGGGGGTGAACCACATCGACACGGAGGAGATGTCGGCGGGGGAGGAGCACCTGGTGAAATGCCTGCGGCTGGGTGG